CTATAGTCTAGTCAATCGTCTAGACTATAGTATAGTCAATAGTCTAGACTATAGTCTAGTCAATAGTCTAGACATAGTCTAGTCTATAGTCTAGACTATAGTCCTATAATAGTCTAGTCTATAGTCTAGTCTATAGTCTAGTCTATAGTCCTAGTCTATAGTCTAGTCTATAGTCGAGTAGTATAGTCTAGTCTATAGTCTAGTCTATAGTCGAGTCCTATAGTCTAGTCTATAGTCTAGTCTATAGTCTAGTCTATAGTCTAGTCTATAGTCTGTAGTCTAGTCTTAGTCTAGCTATAGTCTAGTCTATAGTCTAGTCTATAGTCTAGTCTATAGTCTAGTCTATAGTCTAGTCTATAGTCTAGTCCTATAGTCTAGTCATAGTCTAGCTATAGTCTAGTCTATAGTCTAGTCTATAGTCTAGTCTATAGTCTAGTCTATAGTCTAGTCTATAGTCTAGTCTATAGTCTAGTCTATAGTCTAGTCTATAGTCTAGTCTATAGTCTAGTCTATAGTCTAGTCTATAGTCTAGTCTATAGTCTAGTCTATAGTCTAGTCTATAGTCTAGTCTATAGTCCTAGTCTATAGTCCTAGTCTATAGTCTAGTCTATAGTCCTAGTCTATAGTCTAGTCTATAGTCTAGTCTATAGTCTAGTCTAGTCAGCTATAGTCTAGTCTATAGTCTAGTCTATAGTCCTAGTCTATAGTCTAGTCTATAGTCTAGTCTATAGTCTAGTCTATAGTCTAGTCTATAGTCTAGTCTATAGTCTAGTCTATAGTCTAGTCTATAGTCTAGTCTATAGTCTAGTCTATAGTCTAGTCTATAGTCTAGTCTATAGTCTAGTCTATAGTCTAGTCTATAGTCTAGTCTATAGTCTAGTCTATAGTCTAGTCTATAGTCTAGTCTATAGTCTAGTCTATAGTCTAGTCTATAGTCTAGTCTATAGTCTAGTCTATAGTCTAGTCTATAGTCTAGTCTACAGTCTAATCTATAGTCTAGTCTATAGTCTAGTCTATAGTCTAGTCTATAGTCTAGTCTATAGTCTAGTCTATAGTCTAGTCTAGTCTAGTCTATAGTCTAGTCTATAGTCTAGTCTATAGTCTAGTCTATAGTCTAGTCTATAGTCTAGTCTATAGTCTAGTCTATAGTCTAGTCTATAGTCTAGTCTATAGTCTAGTCTAGTCTAGTCTATAGTCTAGTCTATAGTCTAGTCTATAGTCTAGTCTATAGTCTAGTCTATAGTCTAGTCTATAGTCTAGTCTATAGTCTAGTCTATAGTCTAGTCTATAGTCTAGTCTATAGTCTAGTCTATAGTCTAGTCTATAGTCTAGTCTATAGTCTAGTCTATAGTCTAGTCTATAGTCTAGTCTATAGTCTAGTCTATAGTCTAGTCTATAGTCTAGTCTATAGTCTAGTCTATAGTCTAGTCTACAGTCTAATCTATAGTCTAGTCTATAGTCTAGTCTATAGTCTAGTCTATAGTCTAGTCTATAGTCTAGTCTATAGTCTAGTCTATAGTCTAGTCTATAGTCTAGTCTATAGTCTAGTCTATAGTCTAGTCTATAGTCTAGTCTATAGTCTAGTCTATAGTCTAGTCTATAGTCTAGTCTATAGTCTAGTCTATAGTCTAGTCTATAGTCTAGTCTATAGTCTAGTCTATAGTCTAGTCTATAGTCTAGTCTATAGTCTAGTCTATAGTCTAGTCTATAGTCTAGTCTATAGTCTAGTCTATAGTCTAGTCTATAGTCTAGTCTATAGTCTAGTCTATAGTCTAGTCTATAGTCTAGTCTATAGTCTAGTCTATAGTCTAGTCTAGTCTATAGTCTAGTCTATAGTCTAGTCTGTAGTCTAGCCTATGGTCTAGTCTATAGTCTAATTTATAGTCTGGTCAATAGTCTAGTCTATAGTCTAGTCTGTAGTCTAGCCTATGGTCTAGTCTATAGTCTAGTCTAATTTATAGTCTGGTCAATAGTCTAGTATATAGTCTAATCTATATATACTCTATATTTTAATCTTTAGTCTAGTCTATAGTCTTGTATATAGTGCAGTCTGGAATTCTGAACATTGAAAACATATTAACGCTTTAAATATCAAGAATAAGATCGATGATGATGAACAAAAAAATGTTGTAACTATTAAAAGTTGTTAACCGCATCATTTACAATATTTTCACGTGATTAGAGAATATTAGAAAAAATTAAAAATTAGTTTAGTCTATATATGTAATAATAATAACGATTATGGAACATTGTATTATACAATATTATTTATTAAAAAATGCAATTTAAATACCAATACTAATATAACAATAAAACTAACTATTTATCAATTTATGCAAATCATTTTACTATAATAATAATAATAATGTACTATTACGTTAATTGCTCAATTAAGTAATGATAATAATAGTAATTGAATAATATTGTTTAGTTATTTATAATTAAAGTTTAACTCGCCATCTGTTTTTATTTTTATTTAACAGTACAAATACTTTTCCGTTTGTGATAAAAAAAAAACACAAATTCATTCATATAAACAATGAAAGGCCAAAACAAAGATGAACTGACGTCTAGCTAACACCCTTTCACACCAACCGATCTATCATAATTTCATTCATAAAAATGCATAGATTTTATTTACAAAACAATATTTTGCTAGTAAATATTAAATAAATATAGAATATAATATAATAAATTTAAAATAAAAAAATCTGATTAAAATCATGGAAAAACATTGTTTGAGGTATTATAAATTTAATCATGAGATTGGGGATTAAAACATGATAAAAATGTTTAAAATTAAAACAAGGGAAATGATTTTGCTAATTTCATTTGCTTTTGCTATTAGGAAGGCAAGAAGTAGGTACTTTTAATTTAAATGTTAGATAAGCAAGCAAGCTAAACGTCTATTATTATAGCGGCGATCAATAAATTGTTATTAATTTTATGATTTATTCCCACTTATAATGAAAGTTAAACGGTCAATATTTTTTTTCTAAAAGCCATAAAATAATCAAACAAAAAGAGTATATAGCTGGAAAATACCCTCAACAAGTAATAATGACAAAAAAAGAGCTGATAATTTTACAAAGGAATGCAGCTGGTTTAAGTAAATTTATAACGAATTGTAAAATAATCAAATAAAACTTTAAACTTCGAAAGGTTTTGTGGTATTAAACAACAACAATAACAAAGTAATTTAATGGAATTTGTAATGAAAACTATATTTAAGTGTTGGTGTATACTAAAACGATTATATTTAAAGGAAGATTAGTTAAGTGAAGGTATTAGTTTATACAAAAAGCTGTTATAAAACTTTTTGCAATTTGTGTACCTTTATACAAAAGGCCTTTTTGATAATCTACCATCGATAAATAGAAAACTTAAACAAACTTAACTTTAAGTATCATTGAAAAATCATAGCGCCGACACACTTTTTTAAAAATGTTCTCTTTAATTGTTCTTTAAATGGAAATATAAATCATGAAATTTTATTTCAAAAAATTTTAATTAAATAAATTTAAAATTATTCTATAATTTTATTTAAATATTGTTTAACTATCAATTTATTAACACGCAAAAAATTATCCAAAAATTTAAAATACAAATAATTTATGGCATATTTTAGGGCTTCGACTGAAAATATAATATTTGTATTGACATGCAATATTTAAAATTCTAAAACAACAAACACGTCAAAGTGTCAAAATTAAATATTTGTTTTTGAATTTATTTTTATTTTAAAACATTGTTTAAAGCTGTTTTAAGTATTTTTTTAGAAGAAATATTTACAATTACTTAATTTTTGCATTAAAAGGTGTTTTTTAAGAAAGTGAAAAAATATATATTTGAACAAGTTGTTTTTTTATTTTTGAAACTCATATTTATTCATTATATTTTTTAAATGGCAAATTTGACGTCAATGTCTAACTATTTTAAGCTAAAAGAAAATATTTATTTAAATTAATGAATGCACTTTAATGAGTTAAATGATCACAATTAGAAAATCATAAATATTTATTTAAAAAAAATAAATATTTTAAAATGTCAATGTTTTATTTTATAATAAATTTAATAATTTGTTTAACTTTAGCCATGGAAATTTCTTACTTTTACAAAAAATTTAAAGTTTTATTTTTTCGCTGAATTGCTGTTTTATTTTTGTCCACAGCTCAGTGCATTTGTTGTAATTGACACCTTTTTTTTAAAAAAAAGCAAGGTGTATAGTGGACGATGACCTATTTACAAGTTTTATAATTGCTTAATTAATTTCTTTTTTTAATTTATGTTTAGCTTGGTATTTCTTTACCGCATTAAGTTGTAAAAATTATTCAATCAGATCAAGCAGACGATAATTGAAACTTTTTAAAATTCACACACTTGAAGGTATCGTATGTATGGAAATGTTGATGTGTGGTTTTGAAAATTAAGAATGGAAAAAACTAAATTTATTGAATTTATGGAAGAATTTGATAACTTTTTTATTATAAAAAATGTTTAAAAAAGATTAAAATATTAAAAAGCTTTTTTCTCGAAAAAGCTTTTTTGTAAAAAGCTTTATAAAAAGGTTTTTTTTAAGTTTAATTTATACACAAGTTTTGTTAATACATAAAAAGTTAGAAAGCTTTTTTCTTAAAAAGCTTTTTTGTAAAAAACTTTCTTCGTAAAAACCCCTATTCGTAAAAAGCTTTCTTCATAAAAGTTTTCTTCCAAAATATTTTTTTCATAAAAATTTACTTAAAAATTTTTTTCATGAAAAAAATTTTTCCAAAAAAGCTTTCAATATAAGCTATTTTATAAAAAGATTTCTTTATGGAAAGCAATTTCTATAAAAAGCTTTTTTTGGTAAAAAGCTCTTAAAGAAGCTTTTGTTAAGAATTACATCTACACGATAATTGGATCTCCACTATGGAAAATCCGAATTTACACTGATCGAAGTATTGTAATTTAATATAAATATTAAAAAGAAAATAATAAAAAAGTTTTTCTTTTTCACTTACCCTTAAAGTTAAATGAACCATTAGCTATAGAATCTAATATAGGTGGTGGTGGCATAAAAATGTTAGTAGCACTACCAACACTATCAACAACAGCAATATTATTTAAAACATTCGTTTCATTGGGATTAATATTACAAAAATCAGGATCATCAGCATCGAAAAGAACACTATCTTCCCATTCGGAAACAATATTCGAAGTAGTGGGACGATTTTTCATTTTCCAAAAGTTGTTTTTAACTGAAAAAAAATTAAAACGAAACAAAAAGGAAATTAATTAAGTATTAAAAATGTTTTTGTTGTTAAGTGTGCGTGTGTGTGTTTGTAGTATATTATTATTTAATAACATTCAATGCATGCGTGCTTTTTAAGAATATTTAAGTTTAAAAATTGTTTAATTTAAATGGCACTTGGAAAAGGTTAAAAGTTCATATTATGAAATTTGCAAAAAGTCAACACGAAAAAAAAATAATAGGAAATAGTATGCCGAAACGTAAGTACCCTTCATGAAATTATTTTAATTTGAGACTGATTCGCTAAATGCAAATGGACACTTAGGCAAAGGAGACTTCTAAAGGTGAGCTACTAATGCAATCAATGAAAGATATCTTAAGAGTTCCAACTTATATGTATAACTAAACAAAATCGTGATAAGTATCAATCTTTGGACTTGATACAAATTCGAATTTAGCAGATAAAGTACAAATTCATTAGAAATAATCTTTATTGTAATATTATTTGAAATCTGTAATTAAAAGTTACATTCTATTCAGCTTTAATAAAATAACTTTATATAGAGTGCCAACTTAAAAAAAAAAAAAAATTTGCAACGCAGGCGCTTTTTCATTCGATTGTTTGTTTGTATAAACGTACACATTCATGCACTTAAAAATGTGCATTTAAAATAGAAAATCAATAAAGTGTTTTAAATATTTAATAAAACAACAATTGTTGCATTATGTATTGTGCAATTAGGCCATACATACATATGTATGTATATATGTATGTAATAGTTGTGTAAAAGAACAGTTGTTAGTTATAAGCATAGATGCGTGTAGTGTTATTATATTAATAGTTTATAAAAATACAATAGGGTGATAACCAAAATTAAAGCCTAAAGTGTTGACTACAGAGTGGGCGCTACAAGCAATGTGCTACAAACTATCCTTGTGTTTTCAAATGTGTCAGTCAGAGTGAAAACGAAGATTGATGTGAGAAAACACAAGCAAAAGTTTGTAGCGCAAAGCTTCGCATCGCTTGTAGCGCCTTGAAAAAGCAACAGACAATTACAGCCCGACCTTTGTTTGTCTTACATATAATTGTCTTAAGTCAAAGTTGTTTAAAGAAAATTTAACAATTTTTTATTAGAAATTAAAAAATTTTATTTCGACAGAATTAGCCTAACCTCAAGTGCTTTTGCCGCCGAAAGTTCTATAACCTACGTGCCGCTTAAATATTTTTCAAAAATTATCTAAACGTTATACTCCTAATACTATAAGTTAGTTGTGTAGAACATTTGTTTGTGTACTTGGATTTTGCTTGGTTGCTCTTCAAAAACATTTTAATGTTGGTCATGGTTAAATGGTGCAACGGGTGGATGCATGTATGTACATATATTTAACGTTCATATGGAAGGGTGTTGTGTGTTTGCGATTGTATGTCTGATAAGTAGGTTGTATGATGACATTATCATATATTTCAGTTGCCGTATGAGCCAACAAATTTAATATTCTTGTTTCTTAAACTGGGTCAATTTGCAAAATGTTAAACAAGGAAATTTCTTAAAATAATGAGAATACAAGCCAGATATTTAAATTGAATTTTGTTTGCGTTGTTATTAAATTTATTTAGAAGATAACTATAAGGTATTTAAAGAAGTTTGTGAAAAGTCTTCTTGTTTTCTTATTTATGGCCAAAATCTAAACAAAGACATTCGAGGCTGCAGTTAATAAGGAAATATAAAGCAAGACTTCGCTTTTTTAATCTCCGGAACTCAAAATGTTTAGCACTTTAACGAGACCGAAAACAAGCCTTTTATTTATACTGAGTCTGTGCCACAATTTGTAGTCACACTTTCTAAGGATCTTTACAAATAACTGTCCGTTTTTACCTTCGCTCTTGAAAGACTTAATTCCCAATCGGTCAATGTTTGTTGGTATATTCAGCAACATCCTGTGTCAGTTAGGAAGAGCTTTCAACGAAACTGCTACAACTAACAAGAAATCCATAGAAAGATTTGTGGATAACTTAATGAAAAATTGTTTAGCATCATTAAATGTGAACAATTTAATCTTAGGAAAACTACTTTCACTCTCACTCAATAAGTATCATGGAAAGTTTACAAACAAAACTTGAGTATTTAAAAACGTTAGCTACATTAAGGCCTAATAAAGTGTAAAGGTCCAAACAAATAACATCTTAAGACAAGTTAGGAACACCAACAACTTCACTCACTTTAAAAAACAAAGAACAAACAATCAGAGTCCTATAACAATACATCAAGGAGGAAGCAATACAACAACAAGAACGAATTGATGCAAAACCTACAAAGTCATGCGTCGTTTTATGGCAACCATGCTGAAAGCATTTATAAAAGTCATGGGCAAATAAATAAAACTGAAAATTTGTAAATGATGCCAAAAAAAAAACTAAAGACAAAAAATTATCACCAAAAAATGTGTAAATCACAAAGGGAAAGTTATTGGAAGTTTAACAATATGCTTGCAAATAAAATTAAAAGAATACTACTTAGCTTTATGAAAAGTAAAACAATAATTACGTTTTAAGTAAATTGAAAAAAGATAAGTGCAAAATTATTTTAATTTATGCAAAAATGTTTTTTTATTACACGGAAGAAACGCGGCAGACAAGTTTTTTAAACAACCACTCTCCAGCAACAAATTCCAGCAAAAACACCACAATTGTTTATTTAATTTTATAACAATTAATAATTTATAGTAATATTTTAATTCACAAATTACACTAAAATTTGGCAATTATTTGTAAATTACAAGAATTTAAAACCTTAGCAAAAACTATTCAGTTGTAAGAAAAAACACAAACACACAAACAACATAAATTATTTTCTTGTTTTTTCTTTCTTCCTCGGCAGACAAGTTTTTTTTACAACAAACACGCTCCACCAAAAAACACCACACTTTTTTGATTTAATTTCTTTAAAACAATTAAAAACTTATAGAAATATTTAATTCACAAATTACTTAAATATTTGGCAATTATTTGTAAATTACAAGAATTTGTAATTTGAGAAAAATTCAGTTGTTTTTAAGAAAAAACACAACACACACAAAACAAAGAGCTGCGCCGACAAATTTTACAGCGTCGCTGATTGAAACATTTCGACGGCGTTTTTCAGTTGTGTTATTCAAATTTTCAACGATATTAAAAATTATGAATAACCCTTTAAGACTGAAATGGAAAAACGTATAATAGATCATTTCATTGATACATATCGACTATAGTTAGTAATCGGGCTGTATATTTGCATTTGATGGAAATCAGTGTTTTCGAAAATATTAATTGAAACTTACATTCATTCATGGGTAAGAATTCTCACATATATATGTACATGTATATCATATGAAAGGCATAAATGTTGCACAGTGGTATAGGAAAAAAAAAGAGGGAAATAATTCGGTAACTTCTAAACGGTTAATCCGATTTTAATGAAATTTGGTGTGCACAAAGAGGAGGTGTTGTCGAGTTTAGGTTTTTGAATTTGGACCTTATAGGCCAACCAGGGGCCCGGCGGGGGGTCCTCAAATTAGGACACCTCGGCTATGTTAAATTTTTAAAACGATCCTATTTCTTCATTTGAGTTCCGATTTAAAAAAAATTTCGTATATAGAATCTCCTCATCGAGCACTATAAAAAATGTCGTCGTAGCAGTAAATTATCTCTTATAGTTTAGGAGATATTCGCATTTGAATATTAAAATTTTAAAATTTTTACCGTCCTTACTTTAGTTTTTTTGATAATAGCAGGTCCAAATATTTCCGATTTTCGCCATTTTTTTTATTTGCTTAACAACAAGTTTATATACCAAGCAGTGAAAGAATTATGTAAAAATCATGACTGAGTCCAAAGTTATAGGCATTTAAATTTAAAAAATTAAAAAAAAGGCGATTTTTTGTCATTTTTTTGGGAAAAAAGTATCTTTTTCTTTTTAAGTTATCTAAAAAGTTTCTAAGAAGATGTATATAGAATTTATACTTTTTGGAAAGCTGACTTTACATAAAATACGATAAATGAAACAAAACCTAAAAATTTTTGATACCGAGGGGACCAGGTCCATCCAAAAAAACCCTATTTTTTATGGAAAATTAAATTTTGAGCAAAAATTCTCAAATCGCATAGTCGATATCAAATTATAGTGACCTGTTTTATATGACCCAATAAGTTCTTAATCATTTTGTAACGGGTTTCGATAACCCCGCCCCTGGTATGGATATAATAGGCAAAAAACCAAAAAATCCCATTTTTGGGATTTTTTAAAACTTTTTTGGGAATTCCGGGATTTCTAATAAGAAAATTCGAAATTTTTATTTAATTTTGGATTTTGAGTAAAAAAATCTACCTAACTGTAAAATTTCATCAAAAAATATTCATAAATAAAATTTTTATTGCAATTTGAAAAATTTGTATCTTCGCAAAAACTGAATAAAAAACATTTTTTAATTTTTTTTAAAAAAAGTATTCCGCGAATTTTTTAATTTTCAAAAATTATATACAGTTTTGAAAAATAGACAAAATTACCTTTCCATTGATATATAACATGCCTACCTAATGTTTTTTAAGTGACAAATTAATTAGGGAAAACTCAACATCTTTTAGAAAATTTACCTAGCACTATTATTTTCATCCATATATGTAAAATTTAAGAGTTAACCTTATGGATGAAAATAATAGTGCTAGGCAAATTTTCTAAAAGATGTTGAGTTTTCCCTAATTAATTTGTCACTTAAAAAACATTAGGTAGGCATGTATATATCAATGGAAAGGTAATTTTGTCTATTTTTCAAAACTGTATATAATTTTTGAAAATTAAAAAATTCGCGGAATACTTTTTTTAAAAAAAATTAAAAAATGTTTTTTATTCAGTTTTTGCGAAGATACAAATTTTTCAAATTGCAATAAAAATTTTATTTATGAATATTTTTTGATGAAATTTTACAGTTAGGTAGATTTTTTTACTCAAAATCCAAAATTAAATAAAAATTTCGAATTTTCTTATTAGAAATCCCGGAATTCCCAAAAAAGTTTTAAAAAATCCCAAAAATGGGATTTTTTGGTTTTTTGCCTATTATATCCATACCAGGGGCGGGGTTATCGAAACCCGTTACAAAATGATTAAGAACTTATTGGGTCATATAAAACAGGTCACTATAATTTGATATCGACTATGCGATTTGAGAATTTTTGCTCAAAATTTAATTTTCCATAAAAAATAGGGTTTTTTTGGATGGACCTGGTCCCCTCGGTATCAAAAATTTTTAGGTTTTGTTTCATTTATCGTATTTTATGTAAAGTCAGCTTTCCAAAAAGTATAAATTCTATATACATCTTCTTAGAAACTTTTTAGATAACTTAAAAAGAAAAAGATACTTTTTTCCCAAAAAAATGAAAAAAATCGCCTTTTTTTAATTTTTTAAATTTAAATGCCTATAACTTTGGACTCAGTCATGATTTTTACATAATTCTTTCACTGCTTGGTATATAAACTTGTTGTTAAGCAAATAAAAAAAATGGCGAAAATCGGAAATATTTGGACCTGCTATTATCAAAAAAACTAAAGTAAGGACGGTAAAAATTTTAAAATTTTAATATTCAAATGCGAATATCTCCTAAACTATAAGAGATAATTTACTGCTACGACGACATTTTTTATAGTGCTCGATGAGGAGATTCTATATACGAAATTTTTTTTAAATCGGAACTCAAATGAAGAAATAGGATCGTTTTAAAAATTTAACATAGCCGAGGTGTCCTAATTTGAGGACCCCCCGCCGGGCCCCTGGTTGGCCTATAAGGTCCAAATTCAAAACCTAAACTCGACAACACCTCCTCTTTGTGCATACCAAATTTCATTAAAATCGGATTAACCGTTTAGAAGTTACCGAATTATTTCCCTCTTTTTTTTTCCTATACCACTGTGTGTTGTCTATAATATTTAGTGTGATATCAGGATATCGATATATTCAATAAAAGTCTGAAATTCGACCCTGGTTCTCAGTCGAAGGGATCATGTATATCAATCGAAAAAATATCAAAGGAGAACCATACAGTGCGACCAATTGGCTGGCTGTCCTTGTGCGCAAGGTAAAGGTCGCAATTTTAAATATAATTTTATTTATTTATATTTTTGGCACTACCGCTTTTTGTCTGTGGCTTTTGAGCTCATAATTATGTTAAATATAACTGTATCTCGACAAAAAGGGACTCCATCAAACTTTTTGTTTTTAGCTGGCATTCACTAGGCAGTGATAACATATAAAATCATTACAGAATTGCCATAATGAAATGTTTTTATTATGACAGCTAGCAGTTTACGTCAATTTATATTCTTATAAGAAAAGAAAAAAAACAAATAGAAAAAAAACGAAGTCAAATAAGAAAATTTTAAAGAAATTTTCTCAATGTTTTTGGCAATTTGAATTGTTTTCCATAATTAAATTTAACTGTTATTATTAAAATTTCAAAGCTTATGGTGTGTTGTTTCATGTTATTGTAAAGAAATTAAATATTTTACATAGTTGTTAATAAAAAAATGGATGACAATTTATGGTAAGTTGTGAAAAAAATTAGAGACAAATATGCAATTTGTAAATTTCTTATCTCTATTTGCTAGTTTGTGTGTAGGTTTTGTTAAAAGATAATAAATAATGTAACAAAGATAGTCGATTGATTCCTTGGCCTACAAATATTTTTGTTAATAATGTTGCCAAATATGAGTCATTTTATAAAAAAGTTTTGTTTCTTACATTCCTCTCTCTTTGTAGGCTCATAGAATTGGAGTCTGCTCTATTGGACGACTGCAATGTCAATGACATTTATGCGATATGCCAAGGTAAAGCCATACCTGAGGCCCTTAGACCAGATGTATGGCAAGTGTGTCTGGATGTAAGACACAAAAGTGACCAGATGTCTCTATTTAACGAAATTTACGACTTGCCTTTTCAAAACAAATTACGTGAAGACTGCCACAAAATGGTGGAACGTATAGGCAATGATGACGAGGATAAAGTATCGGTTTTATCGGATCTAGAATCAATATTAACATTTTATTGCAAAAATCGTAATCTTCAATATGAAAGCGATAATGGTTGGATTGAGTTGCTGTTGCCGTTGTTGGCTTTAAAACTAAATCGTTCCGATACCTACAATCTCTTTGAAGCCATACGTGACACTTATATACCCAAGGGCTGCAAACCAAAAGGAAATGTTTTCCATGTCTTTCGCTTGCTAATACTTTATCATGATCCGGAGTTATGTACCATGTTGGATACCAAAAAGATTTCTCCCGACTTGTATTCGCAGCAGTGGTTTCAATGCATATTTGCCTCTAGCTGTGGTTTGTCCGTGATACTTTCCATGTGGGATTTGTATTTCCAACATGCTGATCCATTTTTGGTATTTTTCTTGGGTTTGATTATTCTAATCAATGGCGAGATCAAATTTTGGCCATGAAAGATGCTCCCAAAGAAAGTATTATTAAATTATTATCCAATATGCCTTGTGCCTTGGATACCGATGATGTAGTTGATTTTTGCTCATTGGCTCAATACTATTCAATGAAAACACCCAGTTCATTTAAAACTGATTTCCTTAAGGCTTTGTATGGTAAACAAAACGAAAAGAGAACCCAAGAGGAACCCTGTCTAGTGTCACAGGTGAGGAGAAATACATATTTTTAAAATCCCATTTATAAAATTGAATATTTTTTATAGGCGCTATGTCTTCCCGTTTCCGTTTATGAATTAGTAGAAAATTCATCGATTGATCTAACATCACCGGATGCTGTACGCTTCTTTTTAGTTGACTGTCGGCCAGCAGATCAATACAATGCCGGCCATCTTTCTACAGCTTTTCATTTAGATTGCAATTTAATGTTGCAAGAACCGGTAGCATTTGCTACCGCCGTCCAAGGCTTGTTATCAGCTCAACGTCAATCAATAGAGGCCAATTCAAATGCTGGTGGTGAACATTTATGTTTTATGGGCAGTGGTCGCGTCGAGGAGGATCAGTATACACACATGGTGGTAGCCTCATTTCTGCAAAAGAACACCCAATATGTGTCACTGCT